TATATATATATATATATATATATATATATATATATATATATATATATATATTTCAAAGATATAAGCTCATCCCAACATTATACTCATCGAGACCTTTCATTTGAGTACCCACATCAATTTTTCATATATTTATATATTAATATATATTACATATATGTATATATGAAAAATATATCAAAAATGCATATGGGTACTTAAATGAAAGCTCTTGATGAGTGTAACATCAAGATGAGCTTATATCTTTAAAAACTTCAATATTTAAGAAAGTACAGTGCAATTAAACAAAATTCATTATTTAATAAAGTAAAATTTTATTTATTAACAGTTCACAAGTCACGGCAGTCACGTAGTGACTGCAAGGTTGCTAGTTAATAATTATTAATATAAACGAGTCTACTGTTATAAAAATACAGAAAACAAGAGTTAAACTGTGACAAGCTCTTTTAAATACCGTTATAAGTTATTTTTTATCCAACATAATAAAAGCGAAGCATTGAATTACAGGAACAATGTAGCAATAATTACAATATAAATATAAGTGTTTGAACCCATGGGAAAATGTTTAACGTAGATGTACATAAGATAACGCGAGTGTATTTCTGTGTTGCTGATTCGAGGCAGCCGAGGCGCGTGGCTGGAATGCGGCATGACCGTGGTTACTGTCGCTGGGACTCGCGAGCCTGATATACACGGACGATCTCTTAACACACTCGAGAATAAACCAGTGGCGATACAACCCAACAACACACACGAGAGTATCGTGCCGTAAGGAGTCTAATACCGGCCATAAACTATAAGCTATGAGTACAAACCGAGGATCTTTTATCTTCTCTCTTGCAATTCTCTCTTGCAAGTCCGCAACCGGACGTGTCTCGGTTCCCGGTGGGGAGGTGCTACTACTGCCTACTGTACTCTCTGTACTCTACTCTGTACACTCGGTACACTACACATTGAGTTATTTCTACATCTTGAGAGATATTCCCAGCTCCCACGGGTTATTCTAAGCCTCCGATCCCTTTGATCTTCCGTTCAATCAATCCAACTTAATAAGCCGCTCGATTTGTTCGGGATTTAAAGAAATATCTGAGGAAAATCTGCTAGATAGATTGAGAGGGTGAAATTTTTATAAAAATTATTTGTAAATTTTTTTTACAATAAAATAATAATTGGCAGTGTCTTAGATAAAAAAAAAATACGTAGGATAATTTTTAAATAGTTAGTTGGGAAAATTGAGGAAAAATATGTAAATTTTACATAAAAAAAATGTAAATTTAGTATGAAAAAAAAATTTTTTTTCCATTTTGAATTTACATGGAAAAATTAAAAATTTACATAAAAAAACATGTAAATTTAATGTATGGAAGAAATTTTTAATTTACATGGACAAAGATGTAAATTTAACACATGGAAAATTGGTAAATTTACATGGAAAAAATTATGAATTTACAATAAAAATTTTTTAGTTTACATAAATAAAAATGTAAATTTATCACGTGGAAAAAATTAGTAAATTTACATGGAAAAATTTTTAATTTACATCGACGACGATGTAAATTTAACCCATGGAAAAAATGGTAAATTTACATGGACCAAATAACAAATTTGGGTAGTTGAATATGTAAATATAGCTAGTGAAAAATATTAAATTTACATTGACAAAGATGTAAATTTAATGTATGAAAAAAATGTTAAATTTACATGGAAAAATATGTAAATTTAATGTACGGAAAAAATGTTAAATATACATAGAAAAAAACTTAAAATTTACACGAAAATAAATTAAAAGTTACAATAAAATGATTTAAAATTTACATGGACAAAGATGTAAATTAAAGATGTAAAAAAATATTAGATTTACACAAAAAAAAATTCAAGAATATCGTAAAAAAATAAGTGTTAAATTTAAACGAAAGAAACAAATTTAATTTACAAGGAAAATAATTTAAAAATAAGTACAATCATACAGATATAATGCCATAAGTAATATTTTATTTCGCATAAACATTTATATTCAATAAATCATTTTCAATTAAAACATAGTAAACAATTGAATAACCAATAATTCAAAATTAAATACTCAATTGTGTTCAAAAAATCGGAAAAAATTGAATGGTGACTTCTATTTTTTGTCCCATCCACCATCGTCCCAGCCTCCTCCACCACTGTAACCTCCTCCACTGTACCCTCCTCCACTACTGTAGATAACACTTCCTCCAGAACTCGGATAACGTCCTCCACTACTGAAGAAAGAATTTTGGAATTTTGCGTGGTTGCAAAATATTTTACTTTTAATGAAATTCGTGAATTCTATTTACTAGGACTTTATAAAAATTGAAATACATAATGACGCACACCAAGTACGTTCCAAAATTTTTTTTTTAATTTTTAAATTTACAACAAAATTTTTTCTAATTTCGGAAAATCATATACAATCATATCGGTTACTTGGATTTTTTAATTTTTTTAACTTCCCGCTAAAAATCTCAGATTTTCAAAAATCGGGAAGTTATTGGTTTTACCCCGTTTTGCAAAAATCGAGTTTTCATCAGATCTCGACGTTTGAAGGTCACAGGAAGCTTCCCTGACTATCCCCGCGAGGTTGTCACGGTGTCTGTATGTGTGTGTGTGTGTGTGTGTGTGTGTGTGTGTGTGTGTGTGTGTGTGTGTAAACCTCTTGTAACTTTTGAACGACTTGACCGATTTCATCGCGGTTGGTGTCATTCGAAAGGGCTTCACTAAACTTAGATTTCCTGAAAATTTGAACCGATTCGGACCGGTAGATTTCGAGAAAATCCAAAAAAAGTGAAAAAAAAGTTGTTTTTTTTTTATTTTTTTTAAATATCTCCGAATTGGCTGAACCGATCGGTCTCAAAAACTAATCAGCTCTTAACCTTGAAAACCCCCATCGATCGCCACCAAAAACGTTAGAATCGGTTGATGCGTTCGTGAGATATCGTTGTCGAAAAAAATCGAAAAAAGTGTTTTTTTGTAATAACTTCGAAATTCATGGCTCGATCGATTTAAGGTAGTATATTTTATCATATAAATAAACTGGCCAAAAAATTTTACTTCTTCTTTTAATAATATAGATTTATGGAAAGTTTTTTTGATTTTTAAATTTACAACAAAATTTTTTCTTATTTCGGAAAATCATATACAATCATATTGGTTACTTGGATTTTTTAATTTTTTTTTTTTTTTTTTTTTTTTTTGTAAAGAAAAAAACTAATTTTTTTTTTCTTAATAGTCTTATGAACGTGGGCTTGGCGCGATTTTTTTACAGTGAAATTGTTTTTGTTCGGATTTTAGTATTTTTTGTAATTATGATAAAAATTTACAATTAGTACAAATTTAAATCTCGCGTTGGCTGTATTTTTATAGCAAACTATTCCCTTGCAGCTACAGTTTATGTAAAAATAATTCCAGCGCACCCTGGCGGGTGTAGATGCAAGCTGTGAAATGTATTTTTCTAACTGTAGTTTCCCATCTATCGGAGGATTACCATGCACTATCGAATTATGTAGTCTGTGGCAGATCACTTTGCCCATCGAAAAAAAAGTCAGGATCGAAATTTTTGCGTTGCTATAGTTTGTGCTGATTAAATTTAATAATTTCAAGTAGATTAATTGTTATAATTAAATATAATTAATTAATATCAGTAAAATAAAGTATGAATTACTGTTATAATATAAAATTTAGGAAAAAAAATTACCGTAGAATTAAATAAAATGTTGCAACCTCGAAATACCGTTCTGCTTACAGTAAACACACTCGGTAGTCTGGCGCTCCGTTTACAACGGATTTGAACGGAACTTGGCGCCAGATTCTACCGAATCTGTGGATAATAATTACAATTATTATTTTTAATCGTAATCGTTACCATTATTAATAGTAGTAGTTACTATTTTTATATAGTAGGTAGTATAATTAATTTTTCTCCGTGTACTTTGGCTTAATGATTTTTTTTATATTTATAATCACACTAATAGTTTGGGTACTTTTTAAATAAATTTTAAAAATAATAGTGCTATCACAGGATCAATTACAAATAATTTAATGGACAAATGTGACCGAACAAATTTATAGAACCAAAAAACTATTAAAAACTCCAAAAACTTTAAATAAAAAATTTTCTAAAAAATATATAAAACCTAAGCACTAATTCTTATCTCTTTCTTTCTGATGATACCAAATTAAACTATAAAAATTCCTTTAAAAATAATAATATGCTCGTCACAAAATTTTCCTTTCTCTCTCAATTATTTAAATCATAAATAACTATCGCTAAAAAATATCAAACCCAATTTACGATAAAGATATACCCAAAACTTAATTTTTCTTAGTCTCTTAATTATATTAATTTATTTTTGACATATAACCACATTGACGTGTACAAAACAAAATAAATAAGTAAACAAATTTTGTTTATCGCTAAATTCGAATCTATTTATAACTACTTCGAAAACTTATCATAATAAATAAACTATTTTAGAAAAGGAAATGAAACATTGAAAAGGCACAACTTCAGGTCTCGACCTTTCCAACGATACCAAATTCAACCATAAAAACCCATTTTATCATATAAATACACTGGTCACATAATTTCGCTTATTCCCTTAATAAAATAGATTCAAGTTCTTGTTGTTATTACCAAAAAAATTATTAAATAATTTTTTACA